TTTGACTCGAAGTCCAATCATTATCATCGGGCAAAGAATCTACTAATCATGTGGTCCAACTTCTCTCTAACTTTGGATCAGTGCCACTAAATTTATTTTTTTTTTGCTTTTCACACGACCAATAAGTATAGTAAAACAAAAATTATTGATTTATAGCATTGCTTATCATAACAATGTGAAATTGTCTGCCCGAAAAACATAATTTCACCTCAAATCTTTCTTTACACCATTGTTTTGATGCATCAATAGTATGCTTTGTGTGATCCCAACCAAGACCAGTAGCTCGCTTTAATTCTTTCAACAATTTTCAATCTTCACTTATTTTTTTGTTGCATCATATCATACTCATGTCTAGTCTTTTCTTTAAATTTATTAATGATGTTCTGCCATACCTCTTTGTTGAAAAATATTGTGGGCATATTACCTAACTCAACTTCTTTTAAACAAAGGTCACAAAATATCATCTTTATATCTCTTTTTCATATTGCAGATACACCATTCTATCTTGCCCGACCTATTTGAACCACTAATTTTGAGAAGAGCAAAATAAAAATAAGTTACTATGAATAAATAAGATAAAATAAATTGATGTAGCATATATGTTGTTTACTCTTTAATTTTTTTTTTTTGAAATGATTTGGCATATCTATTGATTACTGTCACACAAAGACACCAACATATTCAACTACTACGAAGCAACCCCTCATTCTATAAAGCAAGCACATAAAAAATTAATCATCACAAAAGTAATCAGCATATGCTATATGAAATGACAGAGAGGGAATGACCGAAGAGAAATTAACCTCCACAAAAGTAATCAACATATCAACATATATGCAATATTTCAAGTGGCATCCATGTCGTTGTTTCTACTTTATGTCGGTATAAAAAGATGAAGCTATGAAGTCCAATGCTTTATGTAGAAACAACAATTCTGACTTCTTTAAGAAAGCCTATAATATTGACCCTTTGATCCTAAACATTGATTTCAGAAGCGGATGGACACAATGCCACTATTCAAAGAAATAACAACAAAAGCATAAGGCAGAGAGCTCCAAATCATCAGTGAATTCACATGAGCAATTATGTTATCCTAAGAAAGCCCAAACAACCAGATAGTAAATTTACAAGAAGATGAACACATGGAAACATACTCTCAACAATAATCTGTGACAACAAACACACCACAACATGCTCTGTGTAAATAGAGGTGCAATTCTACCATGCCGAAAAGCTAAGCATTAAGTTCATAAAATGATGCAAACCCTAAACCACACTCTCAAAATCAAGCCACATAACAAAAGTACCATAACATGAAGCTTTAAAATACAATGCTCTATGTAAAGACAACAACAATTACGTTAGCCTAAAATCACGTTACCATAATGACATTACAACCCAACACTAATGCACAACAACAAATTAAATAATAGAGAGGTATGTTGTGCGTTTGAGAGGGTGGCGGGGCAATCACATCCCCACAATTACAATTCAAACGCTAAAAAATGTGTCACCACAATGCCATTACAACAAACTCATCCGCCAAATGCAAATCAACATACTCAATGGAACCAAAAAAAAGCATTTTAGCTAACAGAAAACTGAAATGAGAAATCACCATATCTTAGGGCATAAATCTCCACACTAACAACTTCCAAATACTAAAATGAAATCATGATGTGCCACCAAAATAGAAGAGAACAAAAACATCTTATAAATTTGGAAGCAGAGCTCACCAAAAACCACAAAAATGATAAAAAAAAAAAACCCACATATAAGGCATATAGTTCGAAAATCTCACATGAGATCGGAGAAGAGATGATAAAGAATAACGATGATCAAAGATTCCTCGTGTGAGATCGGTCGAACTATTAGAGGTGAGAGTGAAGAGAAGCTAAAGCTAGGGAAAAATCCAGAATGTGGGTGCAGGACGAAGGAGGGGCAACGAGAGTATTTACCCACATTCAGAATGCAGAATGCAGAATGCAGTGCAAGGGGTCTAGCGTGAAATGAATAATAAAACTCACGTTGTTGTACACAAAGAAAACGAAAAAAAACAAACACCATAAAATGCAGCTCAAGCCTGTACTGCTGTCGCGCCAGTCTCTCAAATGCATAGTTGCTAGTGGGTCACCCTTATCTCTTGTGCTAGAAGTCTCGGTCTTATGGGTTATTCTAAAATTAGTGTTCTATGTTCTTGACCTCAAATAAAAACCAATGATTACCATTAAAACATTAAATCAAACCAAATCAGATTAGTATATTTCGGCATTCTTGAGATTGGGATTGTTACTCTGGCATGCAACTTATGATTCTTTGGGGCTATTTTATGATTGTAGTTTTAAATCTTGTCCTTCAATTTAATTCATATAAAGAGCAAAGCTTTTTCAAATCCAAATTTTATCAATTTGTAATTTCAAACTACTTTACATATTGGGCAAGATCATAAGGCTCGTGATTGGGATATCTTCACTATCCTCAATATCTGAGTTGCAAGGCCCATCTCATGCATTCTTAAATTTGAGACTATGAGCCCTGACTTATCACTAAATTTTCAAACTAAGTTGTATACACATGCTTCAAACTATTCAACTAGAAATGTCAAATATAAATCATTAGATAAGATGCATCGAGCTTAATTATATATTTCTAGAGTTGCAAGCTTCCGTAACATATTAGGATTGAATATAAGCCACAAGTTTCACAAACACATGCAAATATTTCAAAAAGTCAATTTTTGACCATCCATTCGACATATTTGTCACCTCTAGAGTTGCAAGTTGAACTATGGGATTCCTTAAAACTAGCATAGTAAGCTCCACGTGACCTTCAAGAGTTCAAATGAGCTAATTTAAATCAACAATGTTATAACTCAATTCAACTAATACAAACCAGTACAATACGAACTTTTTGGGTTAGATCTACCCTCTCATGCATAAATTACAACTCCTGAATGTAACTTCTTTTATATTAAGGCAATAAGTCCTTATCATTGAGCATTCAAGACATGTAAGCCCCATTTCTATGGGCGAGTTAGCACAACACTTATCAAACAATACTCTCAATATGAAAACACAACTAAAGTGAAACTGCACGAACCTACCAAATCCAAAAAAAATAAATGCCAGAGAAATCCTCCAAACTCTTTAAAAAAAAAAAATCTCGAGTCTTGTGGCTTCTATTAGCAATACATAGAGATGCAATAAATGCACAAATTGTTGATCTCGAACAAGTACATATACATAAAATTATTCTAATAGATAATCAATCTTTAGGAAATGTCAAGCATCTGAATGTTCCAGAAATTAGAGCTTTCCCCTGAGATGTATGGTGCTCCTTTTCTGAAATTGGGGCATACTTTTGTGCAGGAACCAAATACTCAAAACAAGAGACAAAACAAACAAAGCCTTTGTGTTTATGGTCTTTATTAGTGTTAACTATATTCAAATCGTTCAGGCTAAGCTAGGTTTTCTAACTGGAAGCTTCTTGTGGATATGCTAAAATGTTTTCTACCATGTAGATGTTAGTTTCAATATTAGCTCTGAAGGCCTACCTTTAGTTGAGTGTTCGATATGGGTTGCCATCTCAAAGAATTTCTTACAACTCTTCAATTAATTGGGTGTATTATTTAGGTACAACACTTGATTAATAGTTTCCTGGGGCTTACACCCATGGAGAATGTCAATCTCCTACTTCTAAAATAAATCTTGTTGTAGTCCAACTATTGTCTAGAGAAAATTATGGTAAAGTAAATTGTTTTCCTGCTTAACTTTAAGTTTTAAATTAAATAAATAAATGATGGGAGAATAGCCCCTATAACATATCACTTTTAAAATCCATGGTTGTGTTTGCATTTTGAATTTAGAATCACCATTATGATAGATGCGTCATCTAGATGTTGTATTTATATTTCAAGTTTATATATGTCCCTATTATGAATGGGTTGAACTTGGTTCACTTCTATAAGATATTTTTGCGGCTTAACTTCATGAAGCCTTTTTTATGTCATTTTTTTTAATGTTCCTATAGCTGGACGAATCTATTTCATGGGATTTTCGAAGGCTTGGAGGCTTTTCAGGCGAGGCTGGTTTATAGTTTATTGGCCATTCTATTCAGTTTTGCTTTACTAATTATTTTGGCTTGTTATTGTGAAGTTGATTTTGGCTTAGTCCCATTTTGGGTAGATCCTACTATTTTGTTTGACAGACTTTCCTATTTATTTGGTGATGGGGATGGTTTTGGAACAATAATAGTTTTGTTGTTGATTGCTATATATGTCTAATGTTTTGCTTCAAGCAGGTTCTTGAAGGGAGTTTGATCAATGGCTGACTCTTTCATGATATTTTTCTATGAGTCCCTATAAAAAAATTGTTCAAAATGAATTTAAAATCAATGGCATGAAAATATATCTATTTTGGACGCATATACTTTTCTTCTTCTACTTCTAGATTCTAATGCTTGATCAAACGAGATTTGAAATATTTTGAGACACATAGTCTCTTTATTCAAGCATTTGCCTATTTGGTTTATCTCTCTCTCCTTTTTCTTCTCCTCATTATGTTATCTATTTCTATCACTATTTGGTTGGTTTGAATATGTGTTTTGTTCAATGATCTAATATTTTTTGGGCTTTGTTTTTCGTTTGTATGGATGAAATCTTAGACAACGTTTTTCTTATCATACTTTTATGATTAATTTCTATTAGGAGGACAATATCTAGTCACTTGTGATTGAATTTCATTTATTGATTGTTATCTATCATTAAAAGGAAATAATTGTTTGCGTTTAGCAGTTTGCTTTCCTATGAAACTTGCATCTTTTTCTTGGATTTGTTTTCTAAGATTGTTTGGGGAATATATTGTAGCTATTGTTTATCTGTTTGTCTTGCATGTTGCGAAATTGTATATTTGATTATTATTAGAAACGTACTCTAGTGCAACTTGCATCAACTAGTATTGTTTTTTCCTGAAACAGTAATATTCTATTTTATTTTGCCTTAGATTATTAAAAAACCCATGGATCTTAGTACAATTCGGAATCAGATGGAAGCCAAAGATGACACCGGATATAGAAATGTTTCAGATATATATGCTGATGCAAGGTTAGTTTTCACAAATGCCATGACATACAATGATGAGAGAAATGATATCCATGTAATGGCTAAGACGCTGTTAGCTAAACTTGAAGAGAAGTGGCTGCTGTTATGGCCAAAAGTTGTTGAAGAGGTAAATTAGTGTGTTCTACTGTAATTTATATATGACTCTTCTCTAAGAAAGGATCCATGAACTTGGTCTTCAAGCTTTGCTTTGGTTGCCCACCAAGAGCACCCCATTAAAACAGAGTACACATAGCACATGCTCCAACTGTTGCTTCTAATCATTTATCCTTGATATTTTCTCTTGCATATTTGTTCAGGAAAAAAGACTAAAGGAGGAGGAAACACAAGCTCTAGCCAATATGCAACTTGTTCATGAAATTTCTATGGCAAGGATGGCCGCTGATGTAGAAAATGAGGTAAATATGTTGATTGCGAGGCTTGTAATGCATGTTACTAATTCTTCTTTGTTATGACTTACGCTGAACTGATTATGAATTCTCTGCAACTAGATTTCATGTTATAGCATGAATGTTAGATCCTATTTGTATGGTGATAATCAATTCAAAGGTCCACTTTAGGATTGGACGCTCCTTCATTTTGTGAGGAATTATTGGCTTTTTGGGAACCAAATTCTATGGATATAATGTTTTGACAAAGAAATAGGATTCGTTGAAAACTTCTTTATGTCAAACATTTCACCAATCAAACCACCTAATGATGTTGAAATGTTTTTGAAACTCGTCTGCATTTTAAAATTGTCATCTTATTTTGAAACATGAATTTTTTAGGCCACTTGTCTTCTCCTTTTACACTTCTTTTATTAGAAATTAAGAGATTGTAAGGTTGGCCCCAAAAGGAATGCACTGCATAAGGAGCTAATTGCATTGCTTTTGCAGGGGTTTTGGAAATCAAGGTCATTGGTTGAAAGACTTTCAATTGTAGCATAAAACTGTAATGTATTTGTAATTCATTGTTTAGTTTATTTTTAATGTATTTGAAATTTGTTGGATTTGGTCAAATTTCAAATGCATACCTTTATACAAAGTGTTGTCCCCCCCCCCCTCGTGGCCCCCCCCCCCTGCCTGCAGCCGCCTTTGCCTACCACCCAGTCGGCATTGTTCTCCATCTTCTGTTTTCTGCCCCCTTCTACTCATTGTCGGTCTCCTAACAGCCCCCGCCCCCAGCTGCCGGGGTTGTGACTGACAGTTGTTTATCGCCACCGGCGGTTGTTTGTTGCCATTGGCTGCTTTCAATGCCACTCACTTTCCATTCTTCCTCCTGCTGCCTCCTGTCGCCATTCATCCTCCCGCCGGCAGCCTGTTGCTAATCTTTGCCCGTCGACCGTTGTCCTGAACCCGCCTCCCCTTGCTCGCTGCTCACCCTCTAGTTATTTACCTTGTTTTTTACATTATTTTTTTTTTCTTCAAACCAAACAAGAAAATATGAAATCCTTCATTTATTTTACACTGAATCAAAAACTCAAAAAGTATTCTATATACAATACATTACTCTCACACTATTCCGTATACAATACAATACTTTCACACTACATTTTTTTTTGTGCAAGACATTATTTGTTTAGCAAGCCAAACAGCCCCTAAAATTGACTTGAAATTTTTTATCCTAAACTTCCTTTCCTTTGGTTGACTTGCGCATGTTACCAGACATCCATTCCAGCTATGGCATAAATTGTTTTCTTAAAACTATTAATTTAAGCTGTTTAATGTCTCTAGGTTTGGGAGCAATGCATCTGGTTCAATATTTTTTGGGTCATCATACTTCAGTAGTCATGAGTTAATGTGCATCTAGTAACTGTTGTTCCACTTTGAACTACTTGATCACTGTTTAAATATCCTTATGTTTAGCCAGAGGGCGAGAGTAGTTTGTGGACTCACCCGGCCACAGTTAAACCAAATTAAGTAATTGAGTTTAGAAAGAAGCCACCTTCTTCACTCCTGGATGAGTATACTATAATTTGTTTAATGCGTTGCATGGAAATTGTGAATTCTATTAATAGTTTATTTTATGGTTTCTCTTTTCAGCTTAATGATCTCAATTCACAGTTGGATGAACTTAGAGAAATGGTGGTTAAAAAATCCAGGTAAATCAAATAAATAAATTTTAAGTTTTGAATCTGTTAGATTTCCATTTTACAATGTGCAAAATTTGATAATTATGTCCTTGGCTTTGTATTGAATGCCTTTAAGAGGACAAAATGGTATATTAGTTGTTTCTTGTATTGATGATCCTGAAAGGTTCAAATAATTTCTGTCAACTGATACCACATTCTTAGTTAAGGCAACTTGAGCAAGCATAGCTAGAACCCGGTTATGTCCAGGATGGGCGACTGCCCATGCTGGAATTTAAGATTTCTTTGTTTAACTAGTAAAATTTATCAATCTTTTTATGTTGTTTACCTATTTTAGTCATGTCCACCGCCCCCTCCCCCCCCCCCCCCCAAACCCCCGTCCGAAAAAAAAAAAAATTTTTTTTTTGACCAATACCTCAAAAAAAAATCATTTGATGATTTTTCTCACCTTAAAAGGCAAAGTTGGTTATGCCCCTGAACAAGCAAGGACGATTTTAATTTATAGCCAGTTGTCAACATCATGTTGGTGTTATGTCGATGCCTAGCTTAAGAGCAATTTTATTATTTATTGGCCTAAGGGCAATTTGGTCTTTTATGCCTAGTATAAATAGGGCTAATATGTTTAAGCTTAAGGTTATGCATTATCATATTATTATTATTATGAGTCTTAAATTTAGGATTTGGAAGAGATTTTCTACCTCTTAAATTGTGATTTGGAAGAGATTGATTTTCTACCTCTTAAATTGTATGATTTGGAAGAGATTTTCTACCTCTTAAATTGTATGATTTGGAAGAGATTGCCTACCTCTCGAATTGCTGATGCTTATCTTATGTATTCTTGTTAAGTGTTTGATGTTCTTGCAATAAAATATTTATATACTCTAATTTCTATCAAGAATCCTATCAAATTGATATCAGATCTTTTGATTATGGTGAGTAAAGAGGAAGGATCGAGTGCGCCCTAGCCCCGATCCGAGAGCTAGAAATTACATAGAGAAGCAATAGTGGGAAGGATTGCGGCGTACAGAGCAACTTAATTCAATTCTTTATCGCAATACAATCGTGATTTGGAGCTAGCAGGCTCGCGTCAAGATTGCGGCTTATAGTGCGATTGTTATCGTGATACAGTCACAAATTGGAGCTAGCGAGGACGCAAGCGTCAGTATCGTGGCATGCAGGGCCAACGACATGATCTCAACACGATCGTAACTTACATTATCGCGGCTAGAAAGAGGCGTACAAGGACTTTGTAATAGAAGCTAGCGATTCACAGGGAAGATTGCTAGGATCGTAGCTTGCCAGTGCTCCTTTGTGATCGAGCGCTGACGCTATAGTCTCGAGTGAAGCGACGACAGGATTGATGTGATCCATGATCACTAACTTGCGGTACAGTCTTTATAAGAGAGCTAGTTGGGAGTAAAGATGGGATTTCATGATACAAAAAATTTGCCTTTATGGTTGAAGATTTTCCTTGACGGTGATATAGATGGGGATGTTTTTAAAAGAATGCAGGTTGGCTGGTTGAAATGAATGCATCGGACCTATTATGTGATAGAAAAGTACTGCTTAGTTTAAAAGGAAACTTTTATAAGATGGTGGTAAGACCTTCAATGCTTTATGGCGCAAAATGTTGGCCTTTGATGGAGAAGTATAAAACTAAGTTAAATGTTGTTGAGATGGGAATGCTTAGGTGGATGAGCGACTTGACACTTAACGGCAAAATGCGAAACGAATAAATCCGTGAAAGGGTAGGTGTACTTTCAGTGGCGAACAAGATTTGAGAGAGGCGTCTTAGGTGGTTGTTACATTGAACGTCGACCATCTAATTTTCTGTTATGAGAGTAAAATATAGAAGTAGACCTAAAAAGACTTGAACATTTTTTATCAAAATGATCTTAATTTATTAGAATTAAATGAAAATATGAAACTCAATTGGACACAATGGAGAAAATGGGTTCATGTAGCCGACCCCACTTAGTGGGATAAAGACTTGATGTTGTCGTTGTTGTTTGAAACTTTTCATCAGAGTAATGACGACTTAGAAAGTAAATGTTTTGGAAGAGAAATTAAAGAGGTAGTTGCACCACATCAAATTTGAAATAGAAGAATGACTTGGCTATATTGATAGGCCGTTGGAGCAAAGATACACAAACCTTGGAAGAAATGATGACAAACATCATGGTGTTTCACACAAAATCAACTCTGCCAACTGCTAGATCGACAGACGGTAACGGACACTGACTCGAGCAGTAACAATTGAAAGAATTTGCACGACATCAAGGTAGTTTTCCTGCTTTAGGAAGACCAGGAGCTGTGATATTGAACTAAGAAATCACGACGAATTCGAGAGACATCACTTGGAAGAAGTAGCACGACATTCTGACTGCTTGAACAAACAATAGTAAGTGGAATCGAAGTTGAGAGAGATGGAGACTGATGAGATGGAGTTAACAGAGATTCTGGTGATCAATAAGTTACAGGAGGTGTTGTTTGGGCAGTGATATTCTCTAAGATTGACTAGAAGCCAGGATACCATCCGATTTGGGCGTGGTCGAAGGATGTGCACAACCAGAATATTGAATTCTTAAGGGTCACTACAAATATATGATTAAATTTAAATGATTGTCAGATGACGATAGATCGTGGGAACAATACGACTTGATCCAAAAATAGTTTGTTTCCACCTTGAGGACAAGCTATCTTTTTGGGATGGGAGTATTTTTATGCTTGTGCCTAGCCTAAGGGCGATTTTATCTTTTATTAGCTTAAGAAAAAATTAGTCTTTTATTATTATTTATGTTTAGTATAAATGATGTTAGTATGTTTAGGATTATGGTTATGCATGAGATTACTGTTGTGAGTTTTAGATTTGAGTTTTGGAAGATATTTCTGACCTCTCGAATTGTAAGATTTGTGAGAGGCTTCTTGCCTCTCAAATTTTAGGTGTTCCATCATATGTATTCTTGTCAAGTGTTTGATGTTTTTTCAATAAAATATTTATTTGCCCTAATTTCTGCCAAAGAGTCATATCAGTTGTGAAGCTCAAATATAGCTCAATATTCCATGAAAAGCAATGATTTGGAAAGTTATATCCAATCAAAAGAAGCCGAAGCTATTATTGTTTTTAATACAAAGTCTCAGATGGGAGTTTGGATAAAATTAATGTATTAAATACATCGCTTGTAATAATGATGTAATGCATTATGGGTTTTAGAAGCATGCAAGTAATTCCTTGCATCAAGGATGAAGGATATTTGCAAAAGTATGTAGTATTCACTATTGGTATGATGGGGCTATGATGAGTACCATAATGGTTGGTGCGTAATTAAAGATTTCAATCTCCTCAAGATTTGTGTTTTCTAAAACAATCTAGATTGGGAAGTTTTAGTCAAAGTAGGTAAAAAATAAGAAAAAAAAAATAACAGGCTAAGGATTAATTCAATAGATTGCCTCTGAAATGTTTTTTTGGTGAATATGTAATTAATGATAATTAATCTAATTCTGAACGATTGTGCGATGCATACATCTTTTCACTTTTAGTTTTTTGGTTCTATCATACAAAAGGGCTTTGTATTTTTGTTATTAATTAGTTTAATGTTATCATTTTCTTCATTCAATTTTTTATGACTTGTGGATTAATTTTTTATTGTAATTATATTGAAATGTGAAAATTTACTTTATTTTAAAAAGCCATAGAATATGACATTGTTTGCAGATGGTGGTTCTTATTGATTCATGCTCAAGGAGGAGCTCAATCGCTTGTCGAGATTATTATGGAGGAGAGGGGTATGAATGTTTTGGGTTAGGTGAGAAGTAGAAAGGGAGAGATTAAACTTGATAGATAAATAAAGTATAATCCAATTTTATGGTTGGATTAAAGGACTTAATTGTCAAGACGCGACCTGATATAACCTCTTTATGCTAATAGATTATACCAAGTTTAGTTCGCAATATATATTTAGCCCAAATTCTATTTGAATGTTTTTTTTTTATCTTCTAATTTTCATGAGACAAATCAATAATAATATGAAAATAAAGTTAAATATCATCATCACATTTTTTTCTCTATATACATCAAAATTGTTATATTCAAAATATTTATATACAATGATCATGATTTTCTAATAAACCCAACAAAATATATTTTCATCACGATCACAAAACACATACAAAATGTATCTTTTTTTTTCAGCAAATTCTATCAAATCACTCCACTGGAGCCTTACCCTTCTCCGAAAATATGTAAATGCAACAAGAAAAATAACTCAGTAGGTTATACGAAACGTACAACTGAAATCAATTCATGAAATAGAACAGTATGCATTATTTCATCATAATCATCTGATGTAAATTAAACAAGTTTGTAGGTCACTAAACATATATGTGTATGAGGTAAATCATAATATGATGTCAAATCATAATAATAATAATAGTGCATACAATTCATATCATTAAGTACAATCATCATCACACATATTATGAAAGTTAGCTACTTTGACTAATTATGCTATTTGTACTGTATAAATCACAATAAATCAGATACAATATCATATTATATAATATCTCTATAAAAATTGTCAAAACAATCAGTCATGTCATATTTTACACGGGAGTCATCATTCCTAGCCCGTCAACACATATCATTTCATATTCACTTCTTTTAACTCGTAACCTTTATCGGATTTACACCACTAACTCGTTTAAAAGAAGACTCGTCGACCTACTCTCCAACGTTGGATACCATATCTCATTGTTCTTGAATCATAGTGGCCACTATTTTGTGCGTACACATATTTCATAGCACAACATATTTAAAAAACTATACCATACTCAATTTCTATACAGTGTATATGTAAACCTTGTATATAAAATAAAATAATGAAATTCACATTATGCAATAATATGCATCAAATTATATGCACCAACCAAAACAACAATTACATATTAAGTATACATGTCATCTTTGGGCTAGTATAAATTACAAAAAACATTATGAAAATTCAATTTGCTTA